TATGCCTCCAGCTTTATTTTTTTTTTTTTTTGCTCAGCATTGCTTTGGCTATGCGTGGTCTTTTGTTATTCCATATAAATGTCTGGATAGTTCTTTCCACTTCTGAGAAAAATGTCTTTGGAATTTTGATGGGGATTGCATTGAATTTGTATATCACTTTGGGTAGTATGGCCATTTTCACTATGTTGATTCTTCCAATCCAAGAGCATGGGATATCTTTCCATCTTCTTGTATCCTCTCTAATTTCTCTCAGCAGTGGTTTGTAGTTCTCATTATAGAGATTTTTCACATCCTTGGTTAACTCAATTCCTAAGTGTTTTATTTTTTTGGTGGCTATTGTAAATGGGCAGGCTTTCTTGATTTCTCTTTCTGCATGTTCACTATTGGAGAATAGAAAGAGGTTAGTGAACATGAGACCATGATAACCCACATTAGATTCATGTTTGGCTGTGGTGTGTGGAGTCCAACTCAAGAAAAGCAAGAGCGTGCACCAGTCCTCTGGCAGTAACGTCCACACGTGTCACTTCCGGAGCCCCTCTTAAGTAGACAGCTGACTTATCCATCCAGTTATCAAAATGTAGCTCATAAACCACTTATTTTACATGGTGCCTTGACCTGTATTGAAGATGAATGTTACAATAAACCACCATTCCAGTTTTCAATGAATTCAGAGGGAAACTTTGAAAATTCAGTTCTACTTGGGCATGTGACTCAGTGTAGCATAGCTACTTCATTCAGGTTGTTTAATTACTTCACTTCTTTCTTTTGGTCACTTAGATACCTACTTAAAGCTCTTGCTCAGTACATATTTGTTTTCACAATGGAAAATCTCTCTGGTTTTTCCCACACGTGTTACTACAATTTCTAGGCTTGCTTTTCTTCAACACTTGATTCATTTATACACACACACACACACACACACACACACACACACACACACACACACGCAAAGACTCCATATTTATTCTCCTTTTAGAATCCTTTTTTTTTTTTCATTTCTCAGTCACAAGTGTGAGTCAAAGCCTAAAAATTCAAAACTGTATGCTTTTGGGTCCTGTTTTATTTAGGGAGAGAGATGCCTAAAGAAGGCACTGGGATTGGGTACTGTCTTGCACAAGATAGTTTACTAAAGATAAATACAAAGAGAGCTTCACCCCAAATTAGGTAAGCAAGCACTCTCTTACAATATGCTTCATTTTACTGAAATGCATTTTACACTATCTAGATATAGAGAAGTCTGTTACTGATAAGAGAACTCCACTCTCCGTACCTTAACTGATGCATTACAAATACTTCTCTTTGTGTTCCTGGTACAGTGCAAGGATCTACTTGCAGTGAAGTAGAAATCTATACATTTTATTTTTTTGCAATCATATAACTCAAAACTCTCTTTGTTGCCTCAAATCTATAAGTCATTTGGAACTAAATAATAAAACAAAATTTAAATAAAATAATCTAGAAGAAAATACTTAAATTTTTCTCCCATCTGGTCTATGGCATGCACATGTCAGAGGCTTTGTTTGAGAGTGAATTATTAAAACCTTGGTCTTTGTGCCAAATAGGGGACAGTCTCTGATAACAAGTCATTTACAGAAACAGTAAAAGATACCAAGACCTGCTAAATCTAAGTAAAAGGCACCTTTGATCTAATTCCACCTGTTTCCAGTGCAGACTGGATTTTCTATTGATTTACAACATAGAGTGCTAAACTTGAACTACTGTACTTCAAATGACTAATGGTTGTTTTTAATAGTAGGAAAAAAGTGGCCCCATTCATACAGACAGTCTCTTTGGATAGAGGTACATACTCTGACAATGTTTTAATAGCGTCATTTACTTTTAGGCAGGTTATAAGTGCAGAGAATTGAACTTTGTTGAGCAAATGATTTATGTCTCCTGCTTGAGAGTAATTACCAGAAGTCCTTCTATTCTAAATTAATTTAATAAAATTCTCCCAATGTTATTTGGTTAGTCTCTTAGTTAAACTCATTTTTTATATCTCAGACTTTTGACTTTAGCAAACGGTATTAAAATGAGCTGTTCAATGTAGTAAAAACTAAGTCAAGACATATAAGCTGGACTGCAGTGGGTAACTGAAAACATGATAGCCATAGCAGAATGGAGTGAGAGAGAAAAAACAAAAATGAAAGAACACATGTAGGGCTCATTTAAGGTTAGTCAATTAACATCAAATACTGAAGACGTATTTTACTTAAAACTTGTGTTTAGGTGGTCACATATTATTTCTAATACAATCATTACTAATATAAATATAATATCCTGTTAGCAATAGAGACATGTTGAAGTTTATTCTGTCTCAGAATAAGGAGTCAGCACCAAATGCAAAAGAGAATAGAATAAAATAAAATAAAATAAATGTAAAGTAAATGTAAATAAAATAAAATGTAAAGTAAAATAAGAGTCTTACTTAGACAATGAGAAGGAGGAGCAGGAGATCATAAGAATGTGAGGCATTAGAGAATTTGCAAAACTCAGCGATCAACAGAGTCAGATATTACAGAAGTTTTTATCTGTTCGGTTCAACAAAATACTAAGGGGTCCATAATACATACCAGCCACTGTGATATGTAGAATACAAAGAGTTTCTGGGTTTGGAAATTGGAGCACATCGGTGACATTTGCCAGAACAGAGGCAGCACCATAGGGGTGTCAGACATCAGGCGGTGGAGGGTCCAGGGTAAGTGGGAGGTGGGGAGTTGAAATAGCAACTGTGAAATGGTATTTTAAGGATTTGGGTTGTGAAGTGGAGGAGGGATGTAGTACATTAGCGAGGAGCTCGCATATCCACTTAAGACACAGTGGGTGACAACGGTTCACGATCCGCAAGAAAGTGAAAGGTTTGAAGCTGGCCTGAATTGGAAAGAAACACCTTATCATCTAAGACTGAAGGGAAGACTTAAGTCAGAGTGGAAGCAGCACACGTCGAAGAAATGCTGAAATGCAGGCAACTCACAAGTGATAGTTTCAACTGTCTGTGTGAATGCAAGGACTCGTCTGTTGAAGAAGGAGCAACCGGGTGGCTTGAGGAAAATGAAGACGCTGTAGGTCATTTACTTTGGGAAATGGAATAGGAAGTAAACACAGAGCATATAAATGCCAAATATCCACTACAAGTTTCTAGTCCGAAATACAATACGGCATCAGTATAGATGGTGATGTGACTTTCCTACAATACTGAATATGGATGGTATTTTATTTAAAAAAGAATACTGAGAATTGATGCATTATGGAGACATAGCAGAGCTGATGGAAAGGCATGGGAAGGAGCTTTGTAAATCAGAACAGACAGGGTCAAGGAATGGCAAACGGCAGCTTCTAGCTGAAATCCAGCCTGCCCCCTTTTTGTAAGCAAACTTTTATTGGGACACGTGCGTGATTATTGGTTTATGTGTTGCTGATGGCTACTTTTGTGCTACAGCGGCAGAGCTGAGTAGTTTTGACACAGATCTCTACCAAGCCCTGTACAGAAAAGGTTTTCAAAACCCTGCACTAGGTTATCCTGTCACAATAAAAAAGTCATATTGTAATATCTCAATAAGCTAAAGTTTATTTCCTACTCGTGCTCACTTGCAGTATAGGTAAGAAAGGATTCTGGACATTCCAGTAATTGTAAGAATAAGATGAGAGAGACGCTTCCTCTCTATGTGCTTCTTTACTCACTGCAGCTGTCAGAAAGGGAACCTAAAAATGCACACAATGTCTTTTAGAACTTCCTCCCGAATGTGAAAGTTTTACATGACATTACCCCAAGCAATCACATGGCCACGTTTACTTCGAAGGGGAGGAATGTGCAGTCCTATCAATTGTCTGGAAGGAAGAGACTCTGAATATTTATAAACAGTCCTTAAGAGAAAAGAGAAAAAAAGAAGCCAACAAAGTGAAAGGAATATTTGAAATTCTATATTGGGGTCATTGCCAGGTAAGAAATATCATGAAGCGTGTGATGGCTTTGGAGAAAGAGGGATTAAGAGCTCAGGAGGCACAAATACATCAGCTGAGAAAATAGTGAAAGGAAGTATGAGAGACAGAGCAGGGAGGACATGAGCCTGTGCTCATTTTAACGTCACTTTGTGCTGTGCCAAGGACAAATAAAATCAACCTTTTAATTTTCATACATACTTGATGAATTTTAATGGGTACTGAGTTCTACATTATTCTCACATCCTTGTTTTTCTTTTTTTTTTCCTTCAGAAATAACATGCAATCCTCCTTATATTCCAAATGGTTTTTACTCACCTGAAAAGAGTAAATACAGAACTCAAGATGAAATCAGGTACCAGTGTAAAGGTGGTTTTTATCCTTCAACCCAGGGAAATACAGCAAAATGCACAAAGGTTGGCTGGGTACCTGCTCCAAGATGTAGCTGTAAGTTTCATTCATAATTTGACCTACTTCTGAATTCTGAAATTACTTTCTCTTAAACACATAAAAAATGGGGACACAATAAAACCAAATATTTGTCTTATCGTGTATGTAAACTAGAACCTTTAGAAGTATTCTTTACTTTTCAAAGTAGCCAGTTCTAAGTAATATAAGAAACACATTTTTGTAAACTAAAAAAAATGTCCTCGCTACTCTAAATTAAATGTGTGTGTGTGTGTGTGTATGAATGCACATGTTTCTAATTAGTAAAATTCTTCCAATATCTGAATTAAAACATTAGGTATGAAAGGTGCCATCTAACACATAGTATATTGGTTATTTATTGCACCAAACCTTTGCTATCTTCCAGTTTCTACGAGTCAGGAATTTGGGAGAGGCTTAGCTGGGTAGTTTGAGTCGGACTCTTCTTTGTTGCAGCCAAGATGATGGCCCAGGCCACAGTCATCTGAAGGCTTAGCTGGCAGGGAGATCTGCTTTCAGCAAGGCTCACTCACATGGCTTTTGTGAGGAGGCCCAAGCTCCTTAGCACATGAAACTCTCCCTGGGTTGAGGGAATGGCAGCTGACTTTCTCCAGGGCTGGTGATCTGAGAGGGAGGGAAGAAACCTCGATACAATTTGTGATCTACTCACGTGCTATTACTTCAGCCATATCCAGTCCTGGAAGTAAGACAGTACGTCTAGCACAAACGCAAGGGGTGCGAGTGTAGGAATTAGTGTGGAAGGAAGAGTGTTGAAAAACTTGTGTAGTTTTTGGAAACCAATACATGTAGCAAAATGCCATTCAAGTCAAGAGAGTGTTTTATTTCTGGGATGTTTTCTTTGCCCTTTTTCAAGTTTTTTCTGTCTCTACAGTCATATTCCTTTTCTTTCTATCTGGCAGCACATTGTAAAGGTGTACCACACTTAAACTGGATATTCTATGAAAGAAAAACATAATGATACAAATAATTGGTCAATGACCTTAATGTTAATTTCAGGCATAATTTCAGTCCCTAAGAGAGGAAGCTATTATCAGAATGAAACAAATGTACATAAAAATTATAAGAAAAAAAATTAATGAATTTCAGTTGGCTATGATTCTGCACATCAGTCCAAATGTGTCTGGGCCAACCGAGGCCCAGCTATATCTAGATTTCAACAACCTATTTCACAATGGACCTTCTAGGGTTCTTGAGGATGAAATAAAGAAATTGATGGGTTAGATGGTTTATCAGTTTATAATTTCATTAAATAACCTTATCTGTTTATCAGATGCATTATTTATTTGTGTCATCAAATAGTTTAATGGGTTAGGGGAAATGCGGTACAAATTCACAACTGGAATGATGCAGGGGTGTTGATAGTGAATCTGCATTAGGACATATTTATCGTTTGAAAAGAATCCTTTGTCCTAGATTGAATCAAATAAGAGAATTTAGCTGTGATCCTGGCCTTGGGTCAGAGAGATTAGCTGCCCAAGTACAGACAGACTAGCAACAGTTACAAAAATTAGTGACTATTTTAATCAGTTTTAAGATCAGCTTGAGTCAACACTATGATGGAACCACCTTGACTGCTAACAGGCCACGACCCGCATGGGTAGAAGTGTAGGAAGCAGAATGAGTCTGTTCTAAGTTCTGCTGATCTCAGTGCTTACCAGACTCTATGTGGAATACTGTATTTACTTCAAAAACCACTCTGTAAAAGAAATGCAAATTCAAATGTGTGCAAATGAGAGAGAAGAATAGTGAAAGGGCTCAGGCCTGTGGTAATAATGACACCTACTTTCAATAATGCCTCCTTTTTGTAGCTTTTGAAAAGAAATCTCAGTGGACTGTTTTATTTGGTTGATACTCTGTGAAACACCATAATGAGGTAGATAACCAACCACGCTGATTCTAAAATCGACCACTAGGTTTCAAGTCTGCGCTTTACAATTTAATGGGAAATTTAATTAAGTTAAAACTCAGTTTCTGCAAATTCAGGCTCAAACTTGCCTGAGGCACAATTATTGATAAATGATACCCAACCTGATGAAATTTGTAAAATCCAAAGGTAAGTAAAAAATATTCCAAAGTTTTACAACATGGTGGGGACAAATATTGAATGTTACCTAAAAGGAATGAGACAAAACGAACATTTTAATTTCAAAATTGGATGCTTCATGAAAGTGAGGAATAAAATCTATGAATTATGATATATGGATCATAGGCCAAGAAACTACCCCTAGAGACTGATCATTCACTATTCTTTGTTAAAGAAACATATATAGAATAAAAAGGATTCAAATTTTTTAATTCACATAATGAGTGTGTAGAAATTAATTTAAGTATTTCTCTAATCAAGTAAAAATGTGAATCAGTGAATTTAAGGAAGATGAAGACAATAAGGGATATTGGTGTGTGTTTGCGTGTGTTGGGATTCTTTTTAACACGTTACATAAGGTTTCTTAAAATAGAATTGTATTTCTTGAAAAAACACTAATACTATTCTGGTATTAAAAGTATGAGATTATCTCTAGGTAATCTCATAAAAAGAGCAAATTTTCTGAGAAATGTTATATATAAACCTGTCAATATAGTAAACCAAATACCACTTAAACATATCTGTCAAAATAATTCTCTATCTAAGAATAATTCAGTCAAATGTAATTATATTGTATTTAACTTGAAAATATTTTAGACACATTAAAAAACTCCTTTTTTCAATTAAAATAGAAATAAATGTTTATTATAATCTTAGCTATTTGAATATTAAGAAATATTTCTATAGTTACCCCGTTTTTGCCCTTGTGTCAATTATCTACAACCTGCTTATTTAGCGAAAATCCTAAACAAGATACACTATTATTAACTATAGTTCTCAAGTGAGATGACTATGTTAAGTTGTTCCACTATAGTAACCATTTTACTATATATATGTATCTTATAATAACATGTTGTATACCTTAAATTTACAAAATAAAATTAATTTTAATTAATAAATAAAATATACCTGGAATACTAAAAAAAAATAAAATATACCTGGAATACTAAAAATATATATATATATATATATTTCTGGTCCATTTCTGTGGTTAAATAAAGAATGAAAAACTTACCTCAATGACTAGTTTGAGACGTTAATTAGCAATGTTATTTTTCTGTGTGGAATAATCAAATCGAAGGAAAATTTAGTTTCTCTGTTTCCTATGCTGTCTCCAGTAAGTAGAAGAAAAAAAGCCTAATAATAATTTAATCTAAAACAAAACAAAAACAAAAGAATGCATCTCACTACATTGCGTTGGACTGAATAGAAAAGCAGGGCTCTGATTTCGGATGAGAACGAAAAAGAAAGAAAAGGAAACATGAGCTGAGCAGTAAAATCAGCAGCTTTGTCTCTCAACCAGGAAGCTCATTTCATCAACCAGGGCTAGGATATGGGTACTCAGTGGATATGTGCACTCAGAAAATATCGTTAAAGGTCTGACAATCTTCCTCCTGGAGAATTTTCGTGCAAGCTTTTGTATCATGTGACCCACAAGACATCTTCACTAGCAGAGACCTCCTCACATACCTCAGTCATCTGAGTTCTATAATTTTTCTCATCCTAGAAACCCTAAGGGAATAAGTGTAATTATGCTAAGAGAATATAATTCATTGATTAAACAATTCATCTCTAATATTATTTTTTTTAAGAGAAAACATTATTTATACTGTTTTTGCTTTTTATTGCAAGTTAAACCTTGTGATTTTCTGCAAATAAAACACGGAAGCCTATATAATGAAGATAGATATAGACCATACTTTCCAGTACCTGTAGGAAAGTCTTTTTATTATCACTGTGATCAAAATTTTGTGACATCTTCAGGAAGCTACTGGGATACTATTTATTGCACACAAGAAGGATGGTCCCCAGCGGTACCATGTCGCAGTAAGTAAACCTCCTTACGATTATACATGTATAAAACGTCCAAAGGGTGGAGAGAGAACACATAAGTGATCACAATTAAGCCTTGTATGACAAAATTAGGGCCAGGGAAGTGGTGGATGAGCAAAAAGACCCAGACAGTTGTTGCAGAATTTTTTTTCACGAGGAGCTCTTCTTCAAAATCCTATAAGAAATTGAGGTAGAGACTTTACAAGAATACCTATGTCATTTATACATATTTTAATTATAAAAACTAAAGCTCTATAATATTGAATACTGATTTTTTTCTTTTTTAAAAACACTTCATCTGGTAGTCCCTTTAATCTTTCTCGTTATATGTTATTTTGGGGTGTTTATGCATTCTTACTTAGATATTGTAAAGGCCATTTTTAATCTACTATGTTCACGATATTAATGTTTTTCATTTTTTAAAATTTATCATTTTTATGGTCCTTAGGACAATGTACTTTCAGTTATGTGGAGAATGGACATAAACCAAGGTACGAAAAAAAATATTTACAAGGTCAATCTGTGCAAGTCACCTGCTATCGTGGCTACAGCCTTCCGGAGGAGCAGACCACAGTGACATGTACCGAGAATGACTGGTCCCCTCCTCCCAGATGCATTCGTGTCAGTAAGTAAACGTGCTCGGAAATCCCTCTGTGTTCATGACTTGTAAAGACTCATCTGTATGAACGGGAAAAATGTTTATATCAGATTCACGTTTTGCCAATGGACTTATTTGGTTTTATTTTTTCAAATTTGTATAAATGATATATGAATATCTTGATAAGTGTATATCAAAATGAGTGCACCTATCAAAAGATATTAGTCAAGAATACAGTAAAAGAATGTGAGCACAATATGCAGTTGCTGGTGAATTGTCATATTAATATGTACATAAATCACTTAATCATCTGACTCAAAATCATTATAAAATTACAGTTTAAGATAGAAAATAAATACAATGATAACCAAAAATGTCATTCATATATTCAAATATTGTTATAACATTTTTACAGTAAAGTTATTTGTCTCTGAGTTTCTCTAGGATATAATAACTGGGAATGGGTTCTCTGGGACATTGTGCATGTTCTATTTAGAAGGTTTCCTGTAGTGGTTGTACCAATAGACGTTCATCTCAACACTTCCTTCCTGTTGTATATCCTTGTTAGTGACGGGTGATGTCACATTTTAATATTTACAGACTGAGAGGCTATAAAATATTACAGCATTTTAGTGTTAGTTTGCATCTCTTTTATTATTAGTTGAGTTTAGCAGATATATTCACTGGTTAAATTGTGAGTTAGTTACTCTAATCTATAAAATGCAGTTTCATGTTTTTCTTAATTTCCCTTTAGGGGGGTTTTGATATTTATTTATTGGAATCTTAGTAATTCTGAATATTAATTCCACTTAATTTCAATTATGTGTATTGCAAATGCCTTCTTTTCTGTGTCTAGTATTTTTCTTTTAATAATTGTAAACAGAAGTTGTCCCTTTTACTAAAATTTGTCAATTTTTAGTTTCATGATTGATGTTTGCTGTTTCTATTTAAAGTAATATTTCCATTCTTTAGGAACATAGAGACATTATACTGTATTTTATTCTAAAATGTTATAAAATTTTGTCTTTCAGTATTTTTAATCCATTTTGTGCTGATTTTTAAAAATTTTTTATTTTATTTTGTCAATATACAATGTGGTTGATTAGGTGGCCCATTACCCAAACCCCCTCCCGCCTCCCTGTCCCCCCTCCCTCCCAACAACATTTTGTGTTGATTTCTATGCATGATAATAATTGAAATTCCTTATTTCAAAATATTAGAATCCCAACATTTTCCAGCCATCTGTCATTGCACTTTTCTCATATATCGTACATTTATATGGACTGTCTATTATCGACGACTCCATTATGCATTATTAGTAAGCAATTTTTCAACCAGTGTTCCAGTAACCCCCTATCTTAATTACTATAGATTAATAACAAGTATGAAAATCTAATTATGATCTTTCATCTTAATCTTTTTCTTTATCTGTCTATTTTTGGGGGTGGGGGAGCAGGGGTTTGGGGCTTTTATCTTCCATATACGTTTTAAATCAGTTTATCAAGTTCTTTTTAATAACCCTGTTTAGATTTTTTATTGGAATTTTCTTGGATCTTCTGAATAATTATAAAAAATTCAAAGCTTTATGATAGTGAGTCTTCCTGTTCATGAATGGTTATACTTCTAAATGCATTTAGGTCTTTCTGAATACCTGCCAACTCTTCTATTAGACATTTTTGCTGATGAGAGGCTTTTAGCTTTTCTGAGCTCTGTTTCTTGACCATAACACGTGTATTATTTATTTAAGCTCTAAGAAGTTTCTTTTTACGTTGGCGATTTGCAATTTCACAAGATTTTTTAATCTTGCTTAATACTTGTAATGAGCTTTTAAAATATTAGAATCCCAACATTTTCCAGCCATCTGTCATTGCACTTTTCTCATATATCGTACATTTATATGGACTGTCTATTATCGACGACTCCATTATGCATTATTAGTAAGCAATTTTTCAACCAGTGTTCCAGTAACCCCCTATCTTAATTACTATAGATTAATAACAAGTATGAAAATCTAATTATGATCTTTCATCTTAATCTTTTTTCTTTATCTGTCTATTTTTGGGGGTGGGGGAGCAGGGCTTTGGGGCTTTAATCTTCCATATACGTTTTAAATCAGTTTATCAAGTTCTTTTTAATAACCCTGTTTAGATTTTTTATTGGAATTTTCTTGGATCTTCTGAATAATTATAAAAAATTCAAAGCTTTATGATAGTGAGTCTTCCTGTTCATGAATGGTTATACTTCTAAATGCATTTAGGTCTTTCTGAATACCTGCCAACTCTTCTATTAGACATTTTTGCTGATGAGAGGCTTTTAGCTTTTCTGAGCTCTGTTTCTTGACCATAACACGTGTATTATTTATTTAAGCTCTAAGAAGTTTCTTTTTACGTTGGCGATTTGCAATTTCACAAGATTTTTTAATCTTGCTTAATACTTGTAATGAGCTTTTGTGTGATGGTCAGCGTGGTTTTTGTTTCTTTATATTCTTAATTTTCTACATTCTTTTTCTCTGGAGTTTCTGTTATTTGGCCTGAATTTCTTCAAAATATGTTCTCAGAATTTCACACTTTTTTCACTTTCCATTTCTTTTTCAGGCAGATTGCTTTGGTTTTTTTCTTTAAACTATTCAATCACATTAAAATTTTTTTTGACAACTTTATGTTTAATCTTCAAAGATTCATTTAAAAAATTATCTCTATTCAAACATGAGCTGTATACCATAAAGTGCAAGCATGCTCTGTTTGTGTGCAGGCTAATGACACAGACAAATGATATGGCTGTAGAACTACAGACCCAATCAAGCTGGAGACAGTTTTAATCCTCTGAGAAAGTTCTCTTGTTCCCTTTCCACTCAATCTCCCTCTGATTTCAACAGTTTAGGAAATCAAAGGTTTTTTTTGTTGTTAATGTAGATTAGTTTGGCCTTTCTACAATTTCATGTCAATGGATTTATGCAAAATATATTATTTTATACCTGCCTTCTTTATTTCAGTAAAATTTCTGTGACATCCTTCTATATTGTTTCTTGTACGAGGAACATTTCTTTTCATTGTGGAGTGGTATATCATTATACAGATATACCAACATTTCTTTATCTACTCCACTATTGATGAACATTTGGATTCTTTCCAGACTTTGACAGTTACGTTTTATGAGTATTTAAATACAAGTCTGTGGATGGGCATATACTTCCTATTTCTTTTTTTAACTTTCTTTTTATAAGTTTATTTATTAATATTTTTATTATTTTACATTCTAAGATGCTGTTGTGGAGCAGTTGGGAGAGGGGGAGAGGGGAAGTGGGAAGGAGATAGGGTGGGGGAAGGAGGAAGGGGGAGGGGTGGGGTAGAGGTTCGTTGCACCCCCTCATTCCTGCAGGGGTGACCAGGGCACTTCTTGTGACAGCTCGGTAGTCATCACTGGGCTGATGCAGGTGTGTGTGTGTGGGGGGGAGAGCTGAGACCCTCAGACTCCCACTTCCCTGGCTTGTAGTGGTCACCGCTGGGCTGTATGTGGGTGTCAGGGGACATGGCTGAGGCCAGCAACCCTTTCAGGGGGCTTCCTGTCTTTCTAGGTTTTACAGGTGTTCTTTGGTGATGTGAGACCTTTACTAGTTAATATCAGACTTTGTCTCTGGTTGTGGGTTCTTTGTTTTTTCTTTCAGTTCTGTGTTGGGTTTTTTGCTGTTCCCACCACTTAACTCTGCACTGGAACTAATTTGTTGTCCTTTGCTTACTTCTAAAATGGGGGAACTTCCTGTAGGGACCAGCACTTGAGCTGTAGTTGAGCTGAATTGCTGTTTTGCTGCTGATTCCCTGGGGAAGGCTCTTTGTGCAGCTCAGGTTTTAATTGTTAACCTTGTAGGTACTTCTGGGTCTTGTGAGGTCTGGTACACCTGGATTGTGTGGAAACTCTGTTCTGGACTTGAGTCTTTTCAACAATCTTCTCCCTCCGCAGTTCTATATTCCTGACCAGTCTGCACAGAGTGGGCTTATGCTGGTTGGAGAGCAGATCAGCTGTCTTTGCTGTGCCCCAGTGCTCCTCCAGTGGGCCCATCTCCCCCACCGACCATGCTCCAAACACTTCCCATGGGACAGGCTGTTGTTGCTTTTTAGTTGTTGTGAATTGGTTGATTTGTGGGAGAGAGTGACACTGGGGACCATCTATTCCTCCATCTTGACCAGAATCCCCCTATTTCGTGAATAAATAACTAACAGTGAAATTACTGGATTTGTATGGTGCGTGCTAGATTACATCTATAAAAAATTGCCATACTGATTTTCGAAATGGTTTTATCAATTTACATTCCCACCAGTAATGTACGAGAGTTTCAGATGATTCACATTCTCATTAATAAAAAGGATGGTCAATTTTTAAATTTTAACCATAATGGCACATCTATACTATCCAGTATCTACACCATCCAGTATCTATACCAGAAAGTCATGGTGCTTTTATTTTACTTTCCTGGGTGACTGATGCTGGTAAGCACATTTTAACCTGTTTATTGGCTATTGTTCTATCTTTCTTTGATAAAATTTACTTTTTTTTCCATCTTGATTGGGTAGTTTGTCATATAATTCAGTGGCAATAGTTCTTTAAATATTTGGAATATAATTTTTTTATCAGATATACGATTTTCAAATATTTTCTCATGTTTTGTGTCTTACTTTTGAGTTTCTAACAGTTTATTTCTAGGAACAAGTATTTTAACTATTGATGAAATTTACATTTATCAGTTTTTTAATGGTTTATTTTGTGCCCTATATAGAACACTTTGCCAATCCCAAAGTTGTAAATATTTGTATTACTACTTTTTTTCCTGGAAAGTTCATACACTTACTTTTACATTCATGTCTGTGTTGATTTCCAGATATTTCATGTATTTTTCTCATATGAGTTTCCATTTGTTCTAGGAGAGTTTTTACAAATTTTATTCTTTTGCTTAGTGAGTAACCTGGCATATTTGTCAAAAATTGTTGAATGTAAGTTTATGTGTGTATGTTCGTGTGCTTACGTGCGTGTGT